AGATCACATGATAGAATTTTGTAAGACCAGTGACTTGTTCATTGCCAGAACCTTTTGTAAACAACATAAAAGACACCTATACACATGGACCTCACCAGATGGAATACACAGAAATAAAATTTACTACATTTGTGGAAAAATCCCATATCATCAGCTAAAACAAGGACAGGGGAGGACTGTGGAACAGACCATAAATTGCTCATATGCAAAATCAAGATGAAGCTAAAGAAAATTACAATAAGTCCATGAGAGCCAAAATAAACCTTGAATATACCTCACCTAAACTTAGAGATCATCTGAAGAACAATTTGATGCATTAGACACTAAAGACCGAAGACTAAGAGTTGTGGGATGACATCAAGAACATCACACAAGAAGAAAGCAAAAGTTCATTTAGAAGACAAGAACTAAGGAAAAGACCAAAATGGATGTCAGAAGAGACTCTGAAACTTACTCTCCAGTGTAGAGTTGTGAAAGCAAATGGAAGAAGTGAGAAGGTACAGGAGTTGAACAGACAGAGTTAAAAATTGTAACGATAAATGCAAAGTCCTGGAGTTAGAATACCAAAAGGGAAGAACACACTCAGCATTTGTCAAGCTTAGGGAACTGAAGAAAAAATTCAAACTTTGACCTGTGCTATTGAAGGATTCTGTAGGCAAAATATTGAATGATACAGAAAGCATCAAAAGAAGAGGGAAGGAATACACAGAGTCACTGTACCAAAAAAAGAAATGGTCAGTGTTCAACCATTTCAAGAGGTAGCATATGATCACGAGCCAATGATTCTTAAGGAAGAAGTCAAAAGTGTATTGAAGTCACTGGCAAAGAACAAGGTACTGGAGATTGACGTAATACAAACTGAAGTCTTTCAACAAACTGATGCGGCACTTGAGGCACCCGTTTATGCCAAGAAATTTGGATGAGAACTACCTGGCCAACTGACCGGATGAGATCCATTTTTATGCCTATTCCAGAGTGGTGACCTAACAGAATGCAGAACTCATTGATCAATATAGTTGGTTTCCCATGTGAGTAAAGTTTTTCTAAAGGTAGCTGCAACAGTATATTGACAGAGAACTTCCAGAGGTTCAAGTCGGTTTCAGAAGAGGACATGGAATGAGGGATATCATTGCTGTCATCAGGTGGATCTTGTCTGAAAGCAGAGAATACCAGAAAGATATCAACCTGTGCTTTATTGACTGTGCAAAGGCTTTCAGTTGTGTTGTAGATCATGACAAGCTATGGACAACATTGCAAATTATGAGTATTCTGGAACACTTAATTGTGTTCATGAAAAACCTGTACATAGACCAAAAGACAGTTGTTGGAACAAAGCTAGGGAACACCAAATGGTTTAAAATTAGGGAAGGTATGTGTCATGGTTGTATTCTTTCACAGTACTTATTCTGTGTGTATGCTGAGTAAATAATTTGAGAAACTAGATTATATGAAGAAAAATGTATTAGGATTAGAGGAAGACTCATTAACAACCTGCAATATGCTGATGATACAGCCTTGCTTGCTGAAAGTGAAGAGTTCTTAAAATATTGTTGAAGGTCAAAGAACACAGCCTTCGGTATGGGTTGCATTTCAATATAAAGAGAACAAAAATCCTAACGACTGGACCAATAAACAATATCCATATAATTAGAGAAAAGGTTGAAGTCAGAAGACTTCATTTTGCTTGAATCAACCATCAACACTCATGGTAGTAGCAGTAAAGAAATCAAATGTCTTATTACATAGGCAAAGCTTTAAAGTGTTAAAGAGAAACGATGTCAGTTTGAGGACTAAGGTACACCTGACTCTTAGTATTTTCAGTAACCTCGTATGCATGTGAAAGTTGGACAGTGAATAATGATACCACAGAAGAATAGATGCATCTGAATTATGGTAGAAACTTGACAAACCATGGCCTGCCAAAAGAATAAACACATCTGTGTTGGAAAAAGTATAGCCAGAGTGCTCCTTGGAAGCGAGGATTGTCAGATTTCATCTCTCATGCTTCAGTCCCTGGAGAAAAGGATACCATGTTTCGTAAAGTGAAGGGTCAGGAAAAGAGGAAGTTCCCCAAATAGTTGGATTGGCACAGTGTGGGCAACAGTGGCCTCAGGCAAAGCAATAATTGTGAGGTTGGCCCAGGACTGGTCAATGTTTGATTTTGTTGTGCTATGAATGGGTGCCAACTCGATGGCATCTAACAATAACTCTGTGTGACATTGTTCTACTGCTATTCATATGGTTTTCAGTGGTTATCCATTCAGAAGTAGGCTACCTCTCCTTCTTCCTAGTCTGTCTTAATGTTTTGGCTCCGCCGAAACCTGTCCACCTTGGGTGTGTCTGCTTTCAATTGAAATACTGGTGGCATATCTTCCTGCTCCGTAGCAACATACAAAATGACTGGCAAGTGGTGGTACTTAAAGTTATTCGGGAAATCTGGTAGAATTCTCTTCTTTTGCAGTAACTTTGACTCTTTTATTTCTTTTTTGGCAAATTTTCTCACTGCAAGCCACATCAGTTTTCCTTTGAAGCAGGCATAAGTACACAGTAACTGTTCATGTTGATGTAACTATTACGAAGAACTTTACTGTTCTTAGAACAGTTTTTATTTTAACTTTTCAGTAATTATTTCCCCCTACCTAGGAAACAACAAAAATTTTAAAGTTTCACTGGTTCCTCTATTAGCATCTTTACAAAAGTCATGTGATGATCAACAATCTGAAATTTTATGCTTACCACTGTTGTGGACATAATCACTTGGATATAGGGAGAGAAGGGTTAGTTTTCTGCATATTATCCGAACTTTTTCCTGTTTAGTTATTGGGATACCTTTGGAAATGTACTCATAAAAGAATCTCATTTGATTCTTTGCATGCGTCAATTAGGTTTGTTAATCCTTGGTTTTAAAGATGTTGTTAAGATGAGGCTTGGTATTTGGACCTTATTACTTACTCTTTGTTTTGTTCCAGGGTTTATTTAATAAAAACAGTAACACTGAACCAAATGGGATCAAAATAACAGCTTTATTAAAGGTAAAGTTGGGTTAGAGATGGCAGGGCAGAATTGGGCTTTGTCCTCCTCCCCCTCTGAATTGAAAACAATCAAGTAGAAGGAAGAGCTCAGAGATGTTAATCTACTGTTGTTTACTCGTAAAAAATGGAGCAGGAGTTTCCATCCCTCTATAGAAAAAGAGAAAGAATGAAATATATACTATCAAAAGTTCTCATTCTGCCTTTGGTGGCAAAAGTGATACATAAGATGTACAATGTAATCTCTGACCCATTCTTAGTAGTATAATACATAAACATAGAATTTGTAGCTATAATCTGAAGGTTTTATTAGTTATAAAAACATAATGTTTAGTTATTTGTATTTAAAAAGTTAAATATAAGAAAACTGGAAAATTAGCCTTCTGTTTTGATTCTTTAGTTTATAAGTATATACTTAAAAGGAAAAACAGAATACTTTACAGGTCTATAGAAAAATTCAACGAGTCTTAGCGTGGCACTCGACTGCTTACCACAATGTTAGCAGTTCAAACCTACCAGCCACTCCTTGGAAACCCTATACAGGGCCACTATGAGTTGGGATCTATTTGACAGCTGTTAAAAATAACAACAAAATAGAGAAATGCAAATCTACCACTTAATACTTAAACGCAGAATCATAATAGAGGAAAAGAAGCATCCCTGTGTATTAGGTACAGGTAGGTCTGACGTATGTCTCCACATTAAAAATGCCTAGATTGTGATGCTTTGGTATTGAGTACCTATACTTCATTCTCTTTTCTTGTATCCAAACCATTATTTTTGTCATTTTTTTTGTTGTGACTTGGAAAAACTTTTGTTAGAAGTTTAAAAGTCAGTGGAATAAACTTATCATTAAAGTACATATGTATAATATAAATATAATAGACCTTTTAATGATTTAGAAAACTGGTAGGCGTATTTTTCAGTTGCGGTTGCCAGATTATCTGATTGGCTATTAGGAAACATATAAAATTGGATTTACTTATGTCATAGCTAGATTTTTGACTTTATAAAAAAAATTTACTTCCTGTTTCTTTAAATAAGGAATACTATATTTTTCTCTCTATTTTAGAGGTAATCCTGAACATGAACGCTGGCAATAGTTCTTTCTAAAGCATTTTTTTTCAAATTGTGGCTTGTCACCCATTATTAGGTCTTGAAATCACTATAGTCAGTCACATCTAGCATTTCATTTTTATTTGTTTTGGTAATGAAATGGAATGTCATAAAAAATAACTTGTGTGACTTCCTATAAGGGTAAGTATAGTTGCATGCAATTATTTGTTGAATTATATTTATTACATATATGTGTGTGATCTGGGTATTGCATTGCAGTGTCAAATGTAGTTCTTGTAACAGGTGATAGCTAAAAAAAAGTTTGGAGAAAAAAAAACACCCAACTGCCCTAGCTATAATCTTACACAATGTACCCATTTTCATAAATTAGTACCTATGATACAGAGAACCCTGTAGTTAATTACCGTATATGAACCAGACAGAACCAGGCAAGTTAAAGTGTATTATGAGCACAGGGCTCAAAATAAGAAATTTGAGTCCTATCTCAGTATTTATTAAATTGTGATCTTGAATAAATCACTTATTATCCTTGAGCATCAAACTTTATGAATTTTTTAAAAAATTATAGAGGAAATGCAAAGGGTAGATTTATCTAATTTTTCCATCTTACAAGATGCTTAATTGTAAAGTGATCATTTCATTGCTCTGGTTAGAATCATGGTAGCTCAATACTAAACATATAGGAAATATTGAAATACTTGTTTAATTAGGTAGGCATAAAGATATTTATGCAATTTTATGAATTCAGCTATAAAATAAGGTAAGTGTGGTTATTATTGTTTCTTTACTTTTAAAATCATATTGAACTTTGAAAAATCTTATTTCTGTGAGAAACTGTATTTACTTATGAGTGTATATATATGTTTGTGTGTATATGTATATTTCTTTTGAAAGGAATAGGTCCAGATGGTCATATCGCTTTCAATGAGCCAGGATCCAGTTTAGTATCAAGGACAAGATTAAAGACTCTAGCAATGGATACCATTTTGGCAAATGCTAAATATTTTGATGGAGATTTGTCGAAAGTGCCAACTATGGCTCTAACAGTTGGCGTGGGGACAGTGATGGATGCTAGAGAAGTAAGAATTAAATGTTCTTTAATATTTTCCCTTTGATGCGTATATAATTTGGGTTATAGTACTGAGTAGTGATAATTTTGGTTACATCATTTTACAGTGTAAATTGTTTTTCATCTTTTAGTAACCAACTTCTGTCAGTATCACTGACATGTTTAAATTCAGCTAAATTATTTTGGATCTGCAAACTGCAAATCAGGTACCACCTCTTTTAAGGTTCTGCTTCATTTGTCTATCCCTGCTTTACAGTTTGAACAGAAGTCCTAAAACTATAAATGATTAGATGGTTCTTTTTAAGTGAAACAGACAAAGATGCGGTTTGAGTTATACAACTTCTGAAGTCCTCTGGATAATGCACTGTGAAGTACATCTTGACTGTAGGAAAATAGCTCAGTTGGTTTGTAGCAGAAAGGACCTGATTTAAGGCTAGATTTGTTGTAAATTTGGTATATGAGGTAAGTAAAAAAGTACTGCTACAAAATCGTAGAACCCTTTATTAAACAAAAATATGAAAATGTGTAACTATTGTTTCTCCATCTGGGTTTATACACTTGAAGATAGTGTTTCTGTCCTCTAACCCTTACTCAAAGAATTCTGCATTCTTTGAGTTACAGCAAATCAGACAGCTATTTTATCATCCTTGAGGAACTCAAATTGTGTTCTTTTTAAGTGTTCTTTGAGTTTTTGGAACAAAAAAATTTTTAAGGGCAAGATCCAGGGATATTGGTAAATGGTGTAAAGCTTCCAACCAAAAGTTTTGTAGGAGAGTTCTTAACTATCCTTAAAGAATAAATAGGTATATTATCATGATATAAATAAAATTCATCAGTGCAACTCTCCTGGCCTTATCTTCTTAAAACTTTTTCCTAATAACCTCTGCGATTGTTTTACATGCTTCAGGATAATATTAACATTACCACTTTGAAATCTAAAATAAACAGTCAGTAAAACTCTTTGAGCTTACCTTTTTCTGCCTTAAATTTAACTGACTTAGCAGAAGCCACTGTTGTATCTGGTTTTTTGTTTGTTTGTTTGTTTTGTTTTTTAATGAAGGCACCCTAACAAGACTGATTAAGTTCCTTCAAGTTGGTTCTGACTCATAGCTACCCTACATAGGGTTTCTGAGGAACAGCTGGATTTGAACTATCGACCTACAGTAAGCAGTCTAGAGTTACACTATGACGAAGACAAGTATATTGCTGAAAGAACTTGTCTATAATCAACCACTGTTCACAGAGCTATGAAATAAACTAGTGCATGTCTGAATTGGAATCCTACTAGAAATACTTAAGAAGAGGGAAGCTCACAACAATCTGTCCTTTATTTTTGAAGTTTTAATTGAGCTGTCATTTCCTTCCCTGAGAATAACAGAACACATTATATATATCCAGTTTATGACTATAAGTGGTTACTTTATAGAGGAAACCACAACTCCATTCCTTTCTGTTAGCAGGACTGGACAAGTTCAGAGGAACAAGTACAGTCATGATATTTTGAGTAGCTGATCTTGACAGTAATACCTCTGTAATTGAGCTTACAAGTACAAGTGCCATTCAAAATACATGGATTTTTCATTGTCTAAAAATCTCTAGCTTATGAAAATAAGACCTTTCATGGACTTAATAGTAAATAGGTTAGAAAATAGATTTTAGAATTGTCTTTATTTCTTAAATATGAAACTGATGTAATACAAATGTATTTCTTATATTTAAGATTTATATTATTAATACCATTATATGCTAATTGTTAGAATGAACAAAGAATTATTCAAGTATTGATTTTTTTTCTTTCTTTTGGTCAACAACAGTATGAGGAACTTTAAAAAGTTCACGGATAAACTCCACTATCTTTTAATTACATTTTCTCTAAACTTTGTGAAGTCTCCTAATATGTGATACCCTTAACCTTAACAATATTTGCTCCCAACATAAATTATAATGATAAGGACAGTCACTATGGTAAAAACACAACTTAAAATTTCATCATTTTTTCAATGATCTCTCTTATCGCTTTGAATTTTCATAGTGTTCTTTTGTAATGAGTACAGCGAAACCTGTGAGATTCAAAACTCAAGGGTATTGCCTTGTTTTTTGAGTCTGGCATTTAACACTGCTGCTGCTGTGTGTCCTAGAGTTGACTCTTGACTTCAACTCAGGTTGTTGTTTTAAAGTGCTGTTGAGTCAATTCCAACCCATAGCAACCCTGAATAGGGTTTCCGAGGAGCATCTGGGGAGCTTGAACCGCCGACCTTGCAGTTCAAACAGCTTTGCAGTCTGGCGCTTTAACCCACAGCGCCACACCAGGACTCAACTCTTAGTGACCCTGTATTTTATAAGGTTTCTAAGGTTGTAAATCTTTACGGGAGCAGAAAGCCTCATCTTTCTCCCTCAAATTGACTGGTGGACCAAACTGCTTACATTGCGGTTAGCAGCCTAATGCGTAACCCACTACAGTATCAGGGCTCCTGTTGGGAATCATATGAAGTATATATTTTCATAATTCATTTTGGATGAAATTGTCCCTTGCCGTAGCTTGGTTATCTACCATCAGAATTTATTTTTATTGACTTTAGCAGTTTTCTAAAAGTCAAATTTTCCTTCATTTTGTTTTACTGAGGTGTTTTGAAAGATGATGCCATATACTTTAAAGGCAATTTCAAAAGTAAGACAAAGTGTTTTTAACTATAGCAGTATCTTTAGAATGATTATAATTATACTAATATGAATATTCTCATGATGACGGAAGGAAAAATGAATAAAATCCTCCATTTGACTTGATTTCTGTACTGAAAGTCACAAAGTGACCTCCTAGTTGCTGAAACCAGCCATCTTCTCTGTAGGTGTCATCCTACTGGACCTGTTTATCATTTATTAGTGTCAATCATTTCTCCCTTCATAAAGTGCTACCAAATCATTCCTTCTCAGTCTTCCTCAAATTGTCTTCTTCAGTCTGTCTTTGGAATATGACTGTGTGCTTTCATCTCACCATTGTATATTCACTCTGCATCATGCCCTTCTTTGACAGTCTTCTCGATGACCACTTTTTAAAACTATCCTGTCAGTAACAGTTCACATTTTGGTTTTATTACTGATCCAAAAAATTAACTTATGACTATCTCCAGTCTTTTTTTTTTTCCGCTTTATATTTAGACTGCATTATTATTATATTTTTTAAATAATGGCTTAGTTTATTATCCATATAATTAAGGAAGCCCTGATGGCACTGTAGAATAAGCATTGGATTGCTCCACAGGTTAGCAGTTCAAACTCACCAGCCACTCCATGTGAGAAAGATGAGGCTTTCTTTTCCAGTAAAGATCTGCAGCCTTAGAAATACTATACAGAATTGCTGTTAGTCAAATTGACTTGATGGCAATGGGCTTGGTTTATTTTATTAGAATCCTCTGATAATTTGTTTTCTCATCACAAGATGAGCCTTAGACTCTTAGCTTGGCAGAAAAGACTGTATAATCAGACATCAGCCGAAGTTTCCAACCATTTTCTTTCATGTGCCATATGCTCCATATTAACAAACGTATTGTTTTTTATGAACTAACCCACAACTTTATGAAAATTTCCGTGTTTTCAGCTATATTGCTTACCCCTAAGACTGTGCTTCAGAGAGTGAGAACCCTGAAGCTTCTTCTGCAGATGGTTTGGGGACTTTCATGTCATTATTACTTCATTATTTAAATATTATATAATTTTCATGTAATAATTTGTTTACATGTCTATTCTGGCATATTTGTAACTTAAGGCTTTATAAATTGGTAAAAGCTTAGAACTTTGAGCTGAAACTCCTGTTTACTTCACTTGCTAATTGAATTACCTTAGGCAAGTCATTTTAGCTTTTCTAATCCTATATTTCTTCATTCAAAAAGTGATGATTAAAAAATACCAGAAAAGGATGTTGAGGACTACAAATGAGGTTATGTTGTTGTTGTTAGATACTATTGAGTTGGTTTCAACTCAGCAACCTTATGCACAACAAAATAAAGCTCTTCCCACTCCTCTGCCAACCTCACTATCATTGTTACGCTTTAGCTCATAGTTGCTGCCACTGTGCCAATCCATCTTTTTTGCTTACTCTCCATTTTACCAAGCATGATGTCTTTCTCCAGGGACTGGTCCCTCCTGATAATATATATAAAGTATGAGAGATGAAGTCTCCCCATCATGACTTTTAAGAAGCTTTCTGATTGTACTACTTCCAACAAATTTGTTTGATCTCTGGCAGTCCATGGTACTTTTAATATTCTTTTCCAACACCATAACTCAAATGTATCAGTTATTCTGCAGCATTCTTTATTCATTGTCCCAATCTTCACATGCATATGAGGCTATTGAAAATACCATGGATTAGGTCAGGAGCATCTTAGTCCTTAAACTGACATCTTTGCTCTTCAACACCTTAAAAGAGGTCTTGTGCAACAGATTTGCCTAACACATTACATCATTTGTTTCTTGACTGTTGCTTCCATAAGTGTTGATGATGGATCCAAGCAAAATGAAGTCTTTGACAACTTCAATCTTTTCTCCATTTATCATGATGTTATTTATTGGTCCAGTGGTGAGGATTTTTGTTTTCCTTACACTGAAGTGCAACCTAGCCTGTGGTCTTTGATCTTCATCAGCATTTAAACCCTCTCTGCTTCTAGCAAGCAATGTTGTATCATCTGCACATCATAGATTGTAATGAATCTAACTCCAAGCCTGAAGCCATGTTCTTCTACATATAATCCAACTTTTTGGATTATTTGCTCAGCATACAGAATGAATAAGAATGGTGAAAGAATACAATGCTGGCATACAATACAGTGGTGAAAGAATACAATACCTTTCCTAATTTTAAGCCAACCAGTGTCCACTTACTTGCTTCCACTGCCTCCTGGTCTATATAATGGTTCCTCATGGCCACAATTTAGTATTTTGAAATACTCATTTCCACAGTGTTGTCCATAGCTTGCCATGATCCACACAATCGAAAGCCTTTGTGTAGTTAAT